CGTTGCCACCTTACGGGAGGAGGGAGATTATAACTCGAGTTTTCTCGAGTTTTCCCACTGGGGCCGCACTGTTTTGGTGTGACCCTAAATCTACAATTTTGGAATATTCCCTTTTTCTCATCCTCATCCCACGAACAAAACGGAGCCCAATGAGAAAGTCAGATTTCTCACCAAAGAAAATTATATTTTTTTTCCCTTTTCCAACGACGATTAAAGGTATTTTTGAGTTGGCTAGATTTTAAAAGAGAATGGCAAGAAAAAGAAAATAGAAAATATTTAATGGAATATTTTGGTAACTTAACACCTTCTCTCATCTGACTTAACGGGCGAGGGGGTCTTTGTTTACGACCAAAATTCAGGGTGATGGTGCGTGACCTGGTCACTCCTAGCTGGAAGGGGCTGCACTCCAAGTTGGCGACGGACGAGATACTTGAGGAGGAGAAGACGGTGAAGGATCCCGGGGGGACTTGCCCGGCGGGAACACTCCGATGCTTAAGTTAGTAACAGGAAGAGAGTTGTAGAGCAAGAAATGAGAGAACTAGAGTGCAGATCACGCAAGTTGCAATACCTTCTCTCTTTGGGGGTCGGAGCTCTTATATAGCGGTGTCCTGTCAAATTAGGCATAACTGCCTCTGATTCTTTGTCGTAGGCATTGCTTGCCAGGGCTGTGCAGGTAACTATTGCAGAGTACGACCCTGCCAGGTGTGGGACACTTGTCAAGGTTGGCAGGCACGACACCGCCTGGAGAGAGACGTGGGTGTAGTCTCCGGATTTGGTAGGTACGGTTGTCAGACAGGAGATCTTCCTGTGATACGTCGAGTTGTTCTTCCGCGAGCTGCCTTGTACCAAGCTACCTTGTGTCGAGCTGCAAGTGCCATATCGAGGTGCTTCTACCCGAGATGGCCAGCTTAGGTTTGGGTGGAGTAAATTTATTCTAACTTAGGTGCCGAGCTGTCATCTAGTGCGCTTCCTTGGAAGAATCTTAGCTCGGGGTAATCAGAGTGTCATTTGGTGCCGAGCTGCTACGCTGGATCTTGGCGGACTGGTCGCGCTGAGTTGTCACTTATGTTTAGTCACGTACACGTGTCCTCTTATGATGAGGTTGGGTCAAATCAACCTCCATCAATTGCCCCCACTCCCCGAGCCAGGGGTCCCGACCTAGTGTGGGGAGTTCACGACGTGACGGGTGGGTTTGGCCCGAAGTCTAGGCCGCTTCATCAGAGTTCGCCGGCCGGACCAATTCGCTGCTTGGCTCAATCAAGGGTAACCCGGGTCATGTACAGTTTACGCGCGGACGTCACGTGATTTATAGACTTCGCGGACGTCAAAAAATGCACTAAACTAATTTCACCTCAGGGGTCGCGCAACCGGTTTTTTTGAGAGCCATTAGATTGTCTTGATCTCAACCGTTGAATCTCGGGCATATCGGCTATAAAGACGGGGGGACCCCCGCCATTTTCTCCGCCACAAGTTCACTAACGCTCGTCTTGGGGTCACAGTTAAGCTCTTTAGCTCGGGTTTTCCAGTCTGCCATTCTTTCTAGTTCAGTCGTTTTCCCTTGGTGAGTCTCCTTAGTCTCTCCTTTTCAGTTCGTAGTTCGCTTCTCTTTTAGCTCATTTTTAGCTCGTAGCTATGTGAAACCATAGCTTCGATAGTCTCTTAGATGAACTCGAGGTGGGTGCCCCGACTCAAGTAGGTGCCTCTGAGGCACAGTCAGTCTACGAGGTGTGGGAGGCCTCGGATAACCCGACGTCCACCTCTCATCGATGTCGGATACCAAACAAGTTCGACCCTTCTACTATGACCGTAGATAGACTTAGGGCCCTAATAGCTCGGTATAACCTTCCTAGGGAGTATACCTACCACCTTCCTGCGTGCGACTTCCCTTGGGAACACGGTCGCGATGAGATCGTGATTTTCGGGGAACAGCTCGTGGTCGGACTCCGCCTTCCACTGCACCCCCTAATTATCGAAGTGTTAAATCACTTCGACATTACTATAGACCAGCTCCACCTGAACTCCATTCGGAACTTGGTCGATACCATCTCCCTTTGCTTCGACTACGCCCTGCCTCTCGACCTTGACATTTTCGCCTCCATACTTTCCATAAAGAAGAATGCTTCTAGCGTTCTCCCCAAGCACAGGCAGACTTACTACCTATCCCCCCGCCCGGGCTACAAGCTACTACATGACCTCCCCAATAAAATCCTGGCTGGAAACGAGATTATTTTGTAGTCCGGAACCCTGTGGGATGGCCCTTCCCTACTCACTAGAGGGTGGCCATTCAGGACTCCAGCATTATGCTGGACCGAGATACAAGGGAGACGCTCCAGTCTTGGGCAGAGCTCGACTTTGACAACAAGGACTTCATAGCCGAGAACAAGCTCATTGAGGCCGGTTTGAGTCCCGGTAGGTCGCCTTGTTTAGAGTTAGTATTTTTTCTTCGGTAGTCAGTTTCTACTTCTTGGTGGCATTACTGACGTCGAACTTTGTTGTAGGTCCTATAGAGCGGCTTAGTGCAGAGAAGCTCTTTGGAAAAATGAAGGGGAAAAAGAAGTGAACTGCAAAGAGAGCTCGCATTGAATCTCCACGGGCTCCTACTCCCGAGCCCGAGCTACCTGCTGAGTAGCCTGCTGATGCTCCTCCGGTGACTAACTTGGAGTAATCGGAGAGCCCCTCACCTCGGGAGCCCAAGGCGATTGCGGAGCCCATTCCCGAGACAACTGCGGAGCTCACTCTTGAGACTACTACTACTACTTCGGGAAGCGGGGAATCAGCTCGGGGATCAGCCTGGAGTATTCTGAACCCGTAGTACAACCTCCAAAAGAGCAAAGGGCTGCATGTGCCGAGGAGGTCTCCAGTTGGGCTGACCTATCGCCTGCTCAGCTCGGAGCTCGAGCAGCTTCCCATTGCATGGTGGTAACTCTCGTTGCATTTCAACTTCAATATCTGCAATTGTTGCTTTACTGGTGCTAAGTGGCATTCTCTTGGCAGGTGAATAATGCCATGCACGCCCTAACCTACCAGTCTGAGTAGCACTTAAAGCGAGCTCTGGCTGCCGAAGACTCAGCCCATGCAGCTCACTCCGATCTGAAGCTAGCTCGCGGCCAAATCCACCGGCTAAATGGCAATGTGCTAGCTCAGGAAGAGCTAGTTACGTCGTTGATGTTAGAGAAGGAGGAGTGGCAGTGCGAGAAGGAGGAATTGTTGCGTAAGGTGAAGGACCTTGAGTCGGATAAGGGAACTCTGAAGTGCCAGGTCGAGAACCTCGAAGCTGATGTTAAGGAGTGAACTGAGATCCTTCTTGGCACTATGGAGGAGGCCAAGGTCAAGGCCGTCCAAGACTATGTCATGTCGGAGGAGTTCGACGGGGTAATAGTGGATGCCTACCTCAAGGGCTTCAAGCTTAGCAGGTGGCTGATAAAGCGCGAGTTCCCACAGCTCGATGTAAGCGCTATCACTACCTCGCGAATTACAGGAGATGTAGCTCGTCAGGCTGCTGAAGACCCAGACTCCGAAGAGGAGGGCGACGAAGACATCGGGGAGGCTGACACTTCTGCAGAGGTTCCGAGCAAGAGTGATGGGTCCCTTAAGTAGTTCGGACGGTCCTTGTACATTGAGCCTGCGAGCTCAGTTTTTCCTTTTTTTTTCCCCTTTTGTAATGAAAATATATACTTTTTGCTAAGTGCTGTGCAATTTGCTTTATTTGCCGAAGTAACTATTTTACCTTGAACTGTCAAGCTATCAAGCTAAGTACCCGAAGTAGGGGTTTCTTGACTATCATCACCCCGAACTGTCTCCCAATATTTGGGGGGTGATTCTATGATGTACACCGAGGTGAACGACATAGTAGGGTATATGCCCGACCTGTCTGCACCTGGGTTACTTATTAGTTGTCCCTAACGGGTTCAACCCGTTGTATGCTGGGGCGGGCCATGCATCATAGGGTTCACACCCGAGCTGCTTGCACCTTAGGCATTACAAGTACTTAGCCTATGCCGATGAGGCGATTAGGTCTTACACGGTACCGAGGTCTTTCGTTAGCTCAGCGTTTTAGCCCTTAGTTTGAGGGAGCGACTTATGCTCCACTCTCTAGAGTTCGTCCATGCCGAAGAGGCGACTGGGCTCCGAGGTCCTTAACTCGGCGTTCTGGCCCTTAGGCTGAGGGAGCGACTCATAGTCCACTCTCTGGAGTTCGCCCATGCCGAAGAGNGCTCCGAGGTCCTTAACTCGGCGTTCTGGCCCTTAGGCTGAGGGAGCGACTCATAGTCCACTCTCTGGAGTTCGCCCATGCCGAAGAGGTGACTGGGCGCCGAGGTCCTTAGCTTGCCCTTAGGCTTGGGGAGCGACTTATGGTCCACTCCTCTGGAGTTCGATAATTACAAGTAATATTGCCTTAGGTTGACAATATTCCATGCCCGAGCACCCGCTTTACTCGGTAGGGTCCTTCCCAATTTGGCCCGAGCTTACCAACACCGGGCTCAGGTACCATGACTTTACGAAGAATCAGGTCTCCGACGCGGAGGTTGCGCTTCTTGACCTTGGTGTTATAGTACCGAGCTACTCTCTACTGGTAGGCCGTGGTCCTAATGTATGCGAGGTCCCGTACCTCATCAAGTAGGTCGAGGTTGGTGCATAGTTCGTCCCCATTTGCTTTGTCATCGTACACTTCCAGACGTAGCGCGGAAACCTCGATCTCGATTAGGATGACTGCGTCGGTGTCGTAAGTGAGGTTGAAGGGGGTCTTGCCTGTTGCGGTCTTCACCATAGTTCAGTAAGCCCATAGTACACTGGGCAGCTCGTCTGCCCACAGTTCCTTAGCTCGGTCCAGGCGTGCCTTCAATCCGCGGAGAATGGCTCTGTTTGTGACCTCCGCTTGGCCATTCACAGGGGACCTTTGATATTAACCCCATAGTACCGGGTCTTTGTAATTTATACTAAATAAAATTACAAATTTAGCCCCAAACCTTTTCTTTGTTTATACCAAAAGCCAATGCAAGTAGAGAAAGATGAAACTGTATAGTTTCGAGAAAATACAAAAATAGGAAGTATTGATGCCAATTAATACATGAAGATTGAAGGGGCTATGAGACTTAGATGTGGAAACTTTTTAATACCCAGAAAAACACGGAAATAGCAAGTATTGATGCTAATTAAGAGTTGAGAAGAGGGCTGTCCTGTTGGACGTCAACGCAGTACACAGTGACAGTAGAGTAGTGTTTCTTTTTTTCTCCATCCTCGTCGATCTCACCTTTTCATAGAATACATAGACTCCACCCTACCATCGTTCCCTCCCAACATCATGTACTTATCCTTCCGAGTGAGGCTAGTACACTCGAAGCCCAGGGTGCTCCCCAATATCCTCTGAACGTGGTTGGCAACTTCTATCGCCGATTTGCCACCAGCGTTGCATGTCATCTCCTCCGGCAAACGGTTCAGGAACTTGACTTCGTAGACAGGCCTGGGGTTCATGAAGAAGTAGTAGACATCCCAGAACTTGACTCCCCTCACCGTGGTCCCATGGAACATGCTTTGCTTGGTATTGATGGCGACCGGCACAATTCGGTCGCTGAGCTCGGCAAACAAGGCGCTGAACCGCAAGAGGAAGGGTTCGCGACATGTGGTTCCCTCGGGGCAGATAACCAAGTCACCCTTTTGGAGGAGGGCGGAAATGCGGGCGGCATCAGCCTGGCGATCACGGGTCAACGCGACTGCTGGGATGGGAGACTGGAGCCTGGAGATCTTGCTTACACTGTAGGTGACGCAGGAGACTTTGCGACCCAGGGCGATGCAGATGACGATGGGGTCGAGTGGAGTGCGGTGGTTGCACACGAAGAGGGAGCCCGGGGAGCCTTTGCTGGGCGGGGGCGGGAGATTGCCACTGATAACGAGCTTTATGCCGAGGAGACCATAGGTGTAGCGAACGATGCGCTCGGGCAGTGGGAGATTGAAGTAGACGCGGATGAAGCAGAGGATGAAGCCGAAGGGGAGCCAGAGGAACGTGAGGATGGCGTTGAGTGGGGTAGGGCGTTGGACGAGGCGGCCATCGTGGAAGATGATGGGGCTCTTCAGACACTCTTGGGGGACCGGAGTTGCTGACGGATCATGCGGCACCATATAGCCCTCCTGTGTTGTCAGTTGACGGTTGTGTTACACAAACCATAAACAAGATCAGCATGCATCAGTAACAAGTCAACAAACAATAACAGTTATTCATTCTTTCTTTAGGTGATGGATGTTTTTATTTTTATTTATTTAAATATCCAAATTATCCTTTTTCTTATTTATTTTTCTCCCTTGCACTAATAGGTCCTTGTAGATTACTTGTTGGATTCAATATTCAGATAAAATGGTAGTGGTTTCTTTCTCATAAATATAAATACCAAGCAATATGTTATTCATACGAGTGAAATGAAACAAAAATTTAAAGAAACTTTTCTCTGTCATTGAAATGATTCTGGTAATTTTAGTTGATTTTATTTGGAGAAAATGAAGGTACTTTAGGGTCAATTAGGGTTTAAGAGAAAAGGATAAAAAAGAGAAAATAAGAAAAACTCAGGTGGGTATTTTAATAATTTAATGCATTCGTCACAAAGTGAAATATTAGGGGTGTCTTTGTCACTGACCCCATTGTACAAGGGGGTCTTTGTAAACATAATTTTGAATTTTATTTTTGTTTTTCAAGGTAAACACGTCACTTTTGTTTAGAAAAAAAAATACATGTTTTCAAACCATTTTGCAACCATCAAAATAATAATTTTTAAAACAAAAAACAAATTTTGTAATGTATAAATTATATGACTTGTGAAACACAAGTCACTTATTAAGACAAAAACATGATATTAAGTAACCAGCTTAAAATATGTTTTTTAAAATTTAAGAACATATTATTCGTTTTAATTTAAAAAAAAATGTTTTTAAATAAAATGATTTTGATTTACTTTTAAAACTTGCAACAAAAAAAATAATTCACATTATAGAATGCCCCTTTAATCAAATCTATCACTTGGCTAAATAAGAGTCTGTATGCAAAGGTCAGGGTAGGAGGCAAACTATGTAAATAGTTTATTATAGAATGGAAGACAAATAGGGCATCACTACTGATCTCATCTAAGTTTTGTTTATTGATGGAACGATTCACATTGTTCTACAGTTGGTAGTTGGGAGGCAAATGAATTAAGGTGGAAGAAGAATGTAGACCCTCATCAATGTGCTGGCTGGACCCACCATTACATTACATGTGTTTCCATTGACTCCATTGGACACCAGTATCCATCAGAGTTAAGAGGACACCTCTTTTACAGATAGACTCATTAAAATTGGGCCAACAACTTCCTGACTCAACACACAAACAATTTGGTTTCTGATTCATATTCATAGCCATTGAAAGTTGTTCGCTTGCTTCGTTTTTTAAGCAGGACGTTGTTTCGTTAAGAGGATTTATTTAACTCAAATTTAAACTATTTAAATAAATAAATAAATGAATGCAAATACGTATTAATTATTGTCATTTAGTAAAAGTAAAATTACTTTAATTTATAAGCCCGCCACAGATAATTAGGTTCATTTGGTTTGGAGTTGGAATTGGAATCCGAATTGGAATGGGAATTCCTAGGAATTGAAATCAGAATTGTTTATTCTCGATGTCTATTTACTTCAAACGCAATTGAAATTGAATTGCTATTTGGTTCAACTAGAAACTAGAATTCGAATCAATCGAAATTTCCTGTTTTGCCCCAGTTAGGAGGAGGAGGGTGGTGAAATCTCTGTTCAGCTGGGCTAATATCGATCGCCGACGGCATTAACAATAGTGGTGGTGATTGAGGGGAGGAGGGAGAGTCAGATAAAGAGGGGGAGGAAGAAGAGAAAATAGAGAAGGTAAGAGGAAGCAGCAATCATACCTCGTTGGAGATGGTCATTGGCAGCAACAACTTGGATGGAAAAAGGTATAGAGGAAGGTTTATGGAGACGCTTAGGACTTGGGACGATTAGGGTTTGGAATGGATGGGGGTGTTTTGTCAAAAAAAAAATACAAAATAGAGAGATTAGAATGGGAATCTCATTCCTAGGGGTCGGGAATGGCCATTCCCCGTATGGGGAACCCTCTAATTCCAATCTATAAAGGTTTGTTTGATTCACAGGAAGATGCTTGGAATTGGAATCAGAATGCCCCAATCAGATTCCAACCAAATTGTGATCGGAGTGGAAAAATTACCATATTTCTTAGTTTAAACTATTTTATATAATAAATTTAATTTTTAATAATGTCATTGTATTTTTTAAATTTAAATTTAATTTTTTAGTTTAAATCTTTTGAACTGATTGACCAAGTCGATTTGGTTGGCCAAAATGCCTACAACCAAACCGAACCAACTTGTGAACATTGCTTATTTCAACTAAACTAGTAATCTAATCTCTAATAAATAACAATAGTTTAATCTCCAATAATTATTGAAAATTTATAGTGCAAAAACACAATTACTGAAAATATATTGATAATGAAAATACAATAAAGAACTAATAAAAATATAATAACTACAAATTTACAATAAGTACTAAAAATATATTAAATTAGTTAATAAATAGTGTAATCTCAAATAATAGTTTAATCTCTAATAAATATTAACCAATAAATTATAACAAACACACAATAAGTAGAATAAATTAAATGGAGAAAGTTAAATAATAGTAGTTTAATCTCCAATAATTTAGTAAAAAGTTTCTATTAAATAACAAAACAAAAATAGATTTATACATAATTATTGAAAATATATTTATCAGAAAAATGTATTGTTTAGTATATATAAATATATAATAAATATAGCGGTGATGAGAAAATTTAAGTGGCTATCATCCAATTTAACAATTAGAGTTCAGTGGGAAAGAAGATCAGCTAATGGGATGGAAAAACTTCTTGCCAAGCAAGGGGTGCATAGGGATCAATTATTCTGGGCTTAATTGTAATTTTGCTTTGCTTTTTGAGGCAACAATTTGCGCCTTTGTGGGATATCTATTATATAATTTTTGTTGGCTCATATTAATCATTCTTAATAAATCACTTTATTACTTATAAAAAATAAATATATAATAAATATGTATTAAGATTTTAAAATTATTATTAATAAATATTATTTTTTAAGTTATTTTCTAGAATTATTAATTCATATAAGTGAAATTAGTTACATAATTGTGTTATTAATTTTGTAAAACATTAAATTATTATTTATTATGTTATAATTATTTTTCTACTTTTAAGAATTTCTTTTTAAAATTTTATTACATAATTTTATTATTTTAACTATTTAAGACCTAGTTATTTAAAGTTATTTAAATATATAATTAATATATAAAATATTTCAAAATTTTCATTAATTGAATTGTATTTATTTTAAAATTATATAATATTAAATACTTTGTTATATAATTATTTATCTATTTTCAATATTTTTCATTTAAGATATTTAGTTATTGAAATATTTAAATAATGGTTTATTTTTAACGTTAATTTTTATTATTTGAATTACATTTAAATGGTAAAATCTGGAAAATCATAATTTATATCGTTAATACATAATTTCATGGTAAAAGTATAAAATTATTAATAATATGAATACTATTAAATATATTATAATTATTTTTTGTGTTTTAATAAATATTTTAAGTTATTATATAATTTCTTTAGAATGTTTAAATAATTTTTTAATTCAAACTTTCTTTATATACATATAGATAAAAAGTGGGGAAAATGATAAATATGAATAAGAGACAATTTAGGAGATAAAAGGAGAGCATCTCTTTGGTTGTATAAAAAACGACACGGAATAAAACAAATAAATAATTCAAAAAAAGAAAATTTTTAGACTATTGTGTTTTAGTGTGTGTGTGTGTGTCTATATATATATATATATAAACTCTGCCCACATTTATCACAGCCACACATGGAGAATATCTCATCCTCTGCGTAGTATTATGCATAGAGAGATGTTCCCAATTCATAGGGGTAATGTGTTGTGGGTAGATGTGGATAGAGATCTCGTGGGTAGGAGATCCAGAGTCATATATCATATAAGTGACCCAAACGGGATTTCCTACTCACATAGGAAAAGTGAGTAGAAAATCTGGGTTCAAAGTAACCATATAATAGGTAGGTCTCACTACTTATCTTAATCCAAATGTTTCCACGTGTGATGCACTTTTCATATATGTTATTAGGTAAATTATAAAAGCATCTCCTATGATTTGGCTTCACAAAAACCTCCCTTATAATATTGAAAAAACCCACGGTTACCTTCTTTCTTTATTATCATGGATAGAAAATGTTAGTCTAATGCATTAGTTTTTTCAAAAATACTCATTTACCCTTACATATAGGGAAAATTCCCGATTAGTACCCTATACTTTGGGCCTAATGCCACTTTAGTCATCAAACTTTAAATGCAACAATTCAATACCCAAACTTTCAAAACATGACAATCTAGTACTTGCCTAGCCGTTAAGTGGCATTTGAAGAAGATACAAATGCCCTTCGAGTGTCATCTAATTTTCTTATCAACCATCCAAACATTGACAAAAATTAACAACCTCAAATCCTTGCCTCTTCTATTTAAGAAAATTGGCATCACTTGAATGCCCACTCAAACATGACCTCAACTTTCTTGAATGGAAGAGGTAAGGATTTGAGGTTGTTAATTTTTTGTCAATGTTTGGATGGTTGATAAAAAAAATTAGATGACACCCAAAGGGCATTTATGTCTTTTTCAAATGCCACTTAGGTTAACAACTAGTCAACGGTAGGTATTGAGTTGTCACATTTTGAAAATTCGGGCACTGAATTAATTCACATTTTAAAATTAGGGGACCAAAGTGACACTAGACCCAAAATATAGGATACTAATAAGGAATTTTCCTTTACATTTATTGATTTATATGAAAATTTACTAAAATACCCCCCAAAAGAATTTTTCACTTTTAATTAAAAAGATTAAAGTAATTTTATTCTATAAAAATGTTAGATCTAATGAATCTTAAAAGGGCATATCTAGCATTTTAAATCATATTGGAAGATTCTCTAAGAAGTTGTAAGGATAATTTCGAAACTTTAAAGTCTTCATTCAGTAGTGACAGGGAGGTAACTGCAGGTTTTTGATTAACTACAGGGTATGTTATTATGAAAGTAAAATCTGAAGGGAAATTTTTATGATTGCCAAAAACTTGAGGGAAAGTTTTTATATTTTACCCTTTATTATTTTTAAAGAACGAAAAGCAAATAAATACCTCACAAACTTCCATGAAATCGTGATCAGACTCGCGATCTCCGATTCCTAAATCGGGCAATTTGTCACCAAACTCCTTCAGGATAGCCGATCTTTTCAAATGCCCTACTAATACCCCTGGCTTCTTCACAAAACCCGTAGCTCTCCCCGTTTTCGGGTTGACCTCGATCTCCGTTCCCAACACCTTGTCCCCGCCGAGGAAATCTTTGACGAATGGCTCCACCATCACCGTCGGGTTGGCCGTCACTACAATCTTGTTATTACACTTGCTAAACACGTTCCAACTCTCTGATCTCACATCCGCGGCGTAGAATCTTGGCAGCACCGCTCGGGATGCAAGCTCAATGTCTCGGATCTTCAAACCCTTAAACGATATGAAGATGAGGAGCTGAATGCCAAGAGACTCAGAAACGAATTTGTAGGCAATGAGGATGAGAGGAGAGGCGAGAAGGAGAGCCAGGCCGCGTAAAAAGCTGCCGGCTTCGATGGCTATCAGCATGAAGTAGGGAAAAGAGCTTCGGGAGATGAGGAGAGTGCCGTCGAGATCGGCGGCGATCGTTTGGGTGTCTCGGCCGGACACATTGCAGAGTGAGATCGGTGGAAAGTATCGGGATCGAGCAGACATGTTTTCTGGTGACTCTTGTGAGTTGTGAGGAGAGCTCTTCTTCACTGAAGACTGTACATATGTAAAATGGATGTGGAGGGACGGTATCGGGGTTGCAGTTGCAGAGGTTTAAAATGGTGGAGAAGTAAGTGAAATTACAAATTTAGCCTCGCTCCTCTTAGTTTGCAGCTTATAGAGTTTTGAATTTGGATCCGACCCAACCCAACAACCATTGAGTCCACATGACCACATGGGCCAGAAGCCCAAAGGGAGGAAAATATTAAATGTGCAATGCTTGCGTGAAGGTAACAACAAAAATTAAGAGGTATGCCAGGGGCCACAGGATCGGAATAAGCAGGTTATTACGTCCATTAGTTGTTCCAATCCGGTGCTCGCTCCTGTTGGTGGTGGTGGGCCTCATGGTCATGGGCATACACTCATGGCAAGGTGAAGAAAAAGATGCGTATTAATTAATTAGTTAACGCAGGGAAGCAAGGGCAGGTTTGAGTGTAGGAAGGTGCATTGGTGTAGGAGTAGTTGAATGGTTTGAAATTGAAGAAGATTTTGTTGGGTGGTTCATGGTTGTTGGTTGAAACTTGAAAATAGGGCTCCGGCTTTACTGATGACTTGCTGACTTTCTGTTGCTTTAAATGGTTCTCATTTCACAACAATTCTGATACTACTAACCACAGTATAAAACCGTACGTCTCATCCAAATTGATAGAGGGTTGGAACGTAAAGAAAAACAGAATAAATGAAAATAGTCGTAACCCTCCCTACCTATACTAATAATTCATGCCAGTGGTTTAGGCTTTTTTTCATGGTAGACGAGAAATAGATGAGGAAGTTGGATCTGTAATTTTTGACTTAGACCTTGATGATCAAATGGTTGAGTATCTCTTTTATTCACTTCAAACCCGTGACCTCCATCATCAATTGTTGGATGATCTGGTCACATGTCTGCCCTCAGGATAACCTCATATATACGACAAGCTTGAATATCATCAGTGCATGCGCATCAACACAATGAGTCATGACATAATTAATGAACTCAACATTAGAGAGTATGAAGTGGGAAAAATTAATCTCCAGGGGCCTGGGGCAAAACGCTATGTCGCTCACCAACCTCACTTCAACCATACCTACCAGCTACCGCTAGTTCATCGCCTGTTATCTATTTAATGAACATACTGCAGGTTGCAGCTGTACGCTCTTGGTTTAGAAACTTGTTAAGTTTAATTTGTTTGCTGTAAATAAACGAATGAGATTGCAAGTAGGTTGATTTTTCTTCGGATTTAAATTTGTTCATTTGTTTCTAAAAAATAAAATAATAAGTAATATGATGCAATCCTCACTTTATATGAGAAAATTTTGAAGTAGGACATGAAAGGAAGGTGATGTAAAAGTGATATCAAGTTTGTACTGAAAATGAGACAAAAAGTAGAGGTGAGCAAATAAACAAAAACCAAAAAATTGACTAAAACTGAACTCAAAAATCAGTTAATCGAATTAGTTTGTTCGGTTTTGGTTTGGTTAATTAATATAGAAAACCGGCAGTTAACTGAATTGACCGATATACATATATTTTTATATATTATAAATTAATAAATATGCATTATATATAAATATATATTTATAATGTATGATATATTATTTATTATTTAAAATATAATATTATATATATTTATAATATTATATTATATATATATTGTAAAATTAAAAAACTGAAAAACTGACGAACCATACTGGTCAACTGATTAACCGATAGAACCAGTTTGGTTAAAAAAAAAAACCACGGTTTGATTAACCAAACCATGAGCACCCTAGCAAAATGTAAAAAATTTGTACAAGGTGAGTTGAATTGTGAAAATGATAGATATAAACAAATGAATACAAAAATGGGCAATATTGGCAAAATGACCAGTTTATTGACGGAAATGTGGCAGCTCTCCAAGTCCATAAGTTGGCCCAATAGGTAACCTTTCAAAGCTACAAGGGAGATTTAGTAAACAAGAAGCTGGTGATTGGTTAGTAAATAAGAAGTTTGGTTTGAAGGAAAAGGTACCGAAACCTGTACAAGGTTTGAAGCAAACAGTAAAATGACGTAACCCTCACGCCTCAGAGACACATCCACCTTGTGGGAACATCTCCTATGAATAATAACTAATAATTATGAGAGATGTTCCCGATGCATGATGGGGTGTGCGTGTGAGGTCGGTGTGAGGCGCCCTGTGTGAGGAACAGATCCGGTCTCCTCACCTTATAACTTATACAAGAAAGAATTAAGATTGGACATGGGAAGAAGGTTTGTCACTTTGTACAGATTTCGCTACCTTTTCCTACCTTGTATGGGTTCCATACCTTTTCCTTCTATTACCTCCCTTTTCCTTAAAACCAAATACAGCCTAAAAGTGTGGTCAAAGAAGATGAGTTCGTGAGTGGAAGTTCATGAGGTCTTAATTATGTAATTTTCCTTGACGTTGCTGACAGGGCCCTCCCTCCCTCTCTGGTTGTAAGATTTTCCATTGTATAAAAAAACGAAAACAAAATTAAATCAGATGCAAAATTTGTATACAATTCATATTTGCACTGCAACTCAAAATCTTTAGACTGTGTTTGGTTTGAAGGAAAAAGTAGGGAAAAGAAGGGAAAGGTAGGGACTTTTTCCTTTAAACCAAACATAGCTTTAAGAACTCTTGTGTGGGTTGAATGGGCGGCAATACTTGATTCCTAGTCTCCTTCCATGACTTTTTAAACAAAACTCTAAAGTCTAAACCCCTAATCCTTAATTTCTAAATCTTTATATCCCTAAACTCTAATTTGGAAATAGGAGTATTCTAGTCAAGAGGTTTAAATAAATGTTAATGAAAATTAATACCTTAAATATATGATTTAATGAAAGTGGTTTGAATGAGGAGAAATATGATTGTTCAAAACTTCAAATTACAGTTTTGTCTTTACAATTAGAGAGAGATCAAATTAAAAAATTGAAATATTTTAATCAAGCAAAAGTTTTACACTATTACTCATACTTCTAATAGTAGTATAGATAGACGAATAGAAATGGTCCATTTTGAATTATACTTTCATTAATTATCTATGTGCGCCCTATATTAACCTATTTGTTTATTTTTCTCACCAATTGGGACCACCTCTAAATTCTCATATATCCCTTCATTCTTATTTAGCCTACTTTTTCTAGTGATTTAGTCTTATTTTGACATCCTAATTTCTTCCAAAATTAATATCTGTTCTGATTCAGCTTGTATGAAATGTTAAGGTGAGGTTCATTTTTATGATTTATGCCTTTAATGTTTGTAGATTTCCTTGTATAGTTAATTTATAAGGTTCAAAATGTTAACTATATCGATGCATTTCTTACGATCTCTCTAATTATTTAATTCTGACTCTTTTTTTTGGCTAAATTTGAACAAAAACTTTGTTCAGCTTACCCACCATTATTAGGCAGCTTGATGACGCCACTTTAGGGGGTATTGAACAAGATTGTTATTTTTTTTAAAACAAAACCAGCTGCCACATCACTAAAAATGATATATATTTGATGATGTGACAGTTATTTTTATTTTTAAGGAAAATTTTCTGATTACATTGGGCTTAGTGTCAATTTGGTCCCCAAACTTTAAAATGCGACAATTCAGTACTCAAATTTTCAAAACGTGACAATCCAATACTTACCCTTAGTGAACTGTTAAATAGTATTTGAAAAAAACACAAATGCCCTTCAAGTGTTATTTAATTTTCTTTATCAACTATCTAAATATTTACCAAAAATTAACAATACCAAATCTTTGCCTTTTCTATTCAACAAAGTTGGAGTCACGCTTGAATGGAGCATTTAGGTGATTCCAACTTTCTTGAATAGAAGAGGCAAGGATTTGAGACAATTAATTTTTTGTCAGTATTTGGAAGGTTGATAAAGAAAATTAGATGACACCCGAATGACATTTGTGTCTTTTTCAAATGCCACTTAATGACCAGTTAACAACAGGTATTGGATTGTCATATTTTGAAAGATTGAATGTTTAATTATCGCACTTTAAAGTTCGGAGACCAAAATAGCAATAGACCCAAAATACATGATATTAATTGAGAAATTTAACTATTTTTAAAAATAAAAACAACCATATTGTAAAAACCGATCAGATTCCAAAGACTTAGAACTAACTCCTATAGAGTAAATTCGAAATTCTGCCATAGAACCAAATCAAACGGACTCATTCTCACTTTCAATACTCAGTGCTTGTGAGATTTCAAACCATTTGTCTTTTCTGAGTTCTCAAATACAAGTCAACACTGTAACCAAGATAAGCCATTGATGGTATTTTTTTCTAGGCCAAGCCCACCCTCCAACCCAAGATAAAAAAATGAGATTAGTGTTTACTTCTAATGGTTCCAAACTCCAGTCTCCAGAGGACTTTAATAAAATCTTGTATAATCCTCCACCGTTGGATCAAGTTCACACCGGTGCAAGTCAAATTTATTACCGATGATTTTGTAAAGACGATCGAGAATAAAACCATCTGGGTAACGTGGGTCAGTACTCAGTAGTTCAAATGTCCAAGTCAAATGGATCCACCATGATGTCATATATCATATAATAAAAATATAAAATATAAAAGAATTGAAAAATTTATAAAAAGATTAGACATGTTATCTAGCATTATATATTAATCGTATTAAACAAAGTAAGTATATGATCTATCAAAAATATTGTTATTAGTTATGGGAATGGCTAAAAATATACAAGATACAAAGAATATTTAATGTCTAAAACCCATGACCTGTCAATAAAATTAAACAATTTTACTAGGGTGTCAACGGACTGGGATTGGGTGGGATCCCGTCCGAGTCAAAACCAATTTGAATGGGTTGGATGGTCAAAATGTCCAATAAGACATATTGAATTGGACCAGTTCATATTTAATCATCCAAAGTATTTATTGGATTGGATTGGACCTGATCCATCTGGTAATGGATTTATATTAGACTGGATCAGGTTGAACCAATATCTGGTCCACTAACAAGAGAGTAGGGGTGCCAATGGACCAGATTTGGGTTGAACACAATCTGAATTAAAACCAATGTTAACAGGTTGGACAAGATTTATAAG